TGTAAATAACAACATCAAGCGTTGTAAACAACGCTCGCTGGCTAGCGTGGTGTGCAGTCAAAAAATCGTCGAAAACATTTCTCCACTTTTTAAGCGGCGGCGGCGCTCGAATTTAAGCGCGCTGCGCCACGTCGGGTATGTTTAACTAACCCGAAACCTCAAATTACCATTTGGCTTGTCGACCGTCCTCATGAACCCGTGCGAACCATCAAGTCGCCGACATATGCCTGCAATCACGAATTGTCCACCGACGTGTGCACTTCTGCATGTACGCATTCTGACGCACTCGGCCGCACTTTGGTATCCACCGACGCACAATGAGCGAATTTGCGGCCAATAGCACGGTCGAGACAGACAAATGAATACAAACGAAAATCTTGCCCCCAATATAATAGAAAATATCTGAGGAAAAGGAAAATCTGTCTTAAGTAAATTTATCTCACGCTGCGGCAAAGATAGTTGTGACGCGCTTCGTTTACACGATTTTATTCGATTTTGAATATTTAATCGATAACGTGATGTTAAATTTACTTCAATATACACGAGAATCAAATTTCCCTAAGTGCGCATAGAGAGTAACTTAAGTATAATAATGTATACAAGAATGTAAGCGCTCGTCGTCCGAGAGACGACGTGCTCTCTCTTTAACTTTGATAATATAAGATACGAAGTTAAACATATATGTATAGAACTTGCACACAGGGAGAGAAAGAGAGAGCGATAAAGAGTAACTGTTACACTTAAACTGTAATTAAAAACGTTTTTAAAAGCCGTTAATTATAAATGAGCAAATATGTCGATGATAAATAGCTGGCTAAAATCGCTGAAAATTATCTGGATTAAATTTAAATGTTCGCGCATTTACGATCACTCGTTCGATTTATGAAAATCGGAGCAAAACATACATCGCGAATATTTTTCAATGTTGTACAATCATGTAAAATACAGGTTATACAAAACAATCTACTAATATTGATACATTCCTTTCTTAAAAAATAAAGAAAAGTGCATTTTTTTTTAATAGAAAAGAAAACGAAATACTTTCTTTTTAGAGAGTATCAAATAAACTGAAAATATATTTATTTTTTAAAAACGTGACTAAAGTAAAGTCACGTGACTGGGAGAACAGAAAAAACAACACGTGACTGTACCTTAGTCACCTTAAAGTAAAAAACGTGACTAAATTAAAGTCACGTAACTTTAGTCACGTGTTGTTTTTTCTCTCCTCCTTGTCACGTGACTTTGCTTTAGTAAAAATTACATTGACTCGGTCTTGATTAGCACCGAGCGTATCACGAATTCGACGCAATTCGCAAAGAAGAGCTCTCGACTTAAGTTCGGCTTAAGCCCGGCGTAATCTTACATTAGAGTCGTCGACTATTCCCTGCCTATCAACCCCCGACGAACCTGCCACGCGCGCAATAAATCATTTTCTCTCCGCGCGCGCCATGACGATTCGCCGTCGGCGAGCGAACACGGGAATCATTTTATTGTCGCGTGTATTTTATCGAGAATTTCTATGACACACGTCGGCTGCGAACGTGAGCCGACCGCGACGACGGCTGTTAAAATCAGGCTTATCATCATAAATACAGGAATTCCCGTGAAAAGCGCGACAATCTCCGCCGCGCGCGCGATAGCGGGGTGTAACATTAATCTATGTCGCTGATGGTAGGATATGACACGCCTCCGAGTGTATTAATGCTTCCTGCGGAGCTTTCAGAAAAAGGGCGCCACAAAAAAATAAATTCAAAAACTTTCCCTAAAATAGCCGGGACACGCTTCACGCTCGGCGAACACCATCGGCACGAGGTCTTCGACGCGCGTTGCGTTTATTAATTAACCCTTTCGGTGTGCTTTACGCCCCGACGGTTCCGAGGTTGTTCGGATTTTTCGAACTTTTCTGATTAAAAGTAAAGAAGAAAGTTTCCTCAATCCACTTCTCAAGAAATTGATACTTTGAATTCTTGACTAAAATATGTTGGAGCTCTGTGTATATGCTGAATTTTGTTACTGAGAATAAAATGAGAGAGTAATTATTTTATATGTTCGCTTTGTTTGCTAACTAGCATTCGCGTAGTTCTGTTTCGAAAACTACGCACGCGCGTCAAAAGTTCACTTTAATTAAAAGAGAAATGCACATTATTGATTTCACATATCAGTTACGTTACGTAGCTAAACGTTAAAAACAATTTAATGTCAGATGACTTTAAACTAAGTGAAAACTCGATAACTGATTCGCTGTTACACACTGTCCTCATTCTATTACGACCCGCACAAAGCATATCGTTCCGTCTCGTAAGTGTATCAGTACTTATCGCCCGTTAATTCCTGCCGCCATCCCCCGGCATGAACTTCCGATTTGGGAACATCTACATCAAAACCGCCATTTCATCGGTTGCATATCGCGCGGCTCCATCGCGGCGGAATTAATTCGACGTCTCTCGAGGGTTCGCGCAATCGAATCTCCCTCTATTTCCTCGCGCGAGGTCCGTCTCGCAAACTCTCCGAGCAGCAGACGCGTTTATCGGGAGTCGGATGCGTGCACTTCCGGCAGTAGGCATTCGTGGTTACCGAGGTGTGCGGAATACGCATGTGGGCGTTGGTGCGACCGACGTCGGTCGCCACTACCGGTGGGGACAGGGGTTGGATAGACTTACCGATGCGGTGATTGATAACGTTATCGATCATTGTGCTGAAGCTTCGACGCGTCGACGGATGACATAGCAAGAGAGAGAGAGAGAGAAAAAGAAAAAAAAGAGAAAAAAAAGATAGGCAAGACAGTGCTCTCTTCGGGTGACGAAACGCACGAGAACGCAGCACAAGGTAACTCGCCCTCATCGCGAGGGATGTTCGGCCTGTGAGCGTGAAGAGCGAACGGGGAAATGTGGGAAGCGACGATGGTGGGGTATAAAAGACGTCCGCGGCAAAAACTGTGAAGCGCTCTGTAGAATTTTCAATAAGGCGGGGTCGGAAGAAGAAGATTAATGCAATGCCGTCGGGGGACCTTAGGAGACGACAGCGACATGACTGTCAAAAGAACATCCCTAGAGGCAGAGTCCACTCGCTCTATCGCAGAGCGCGCAACCCTCTGCGTTTCCTCTTCTTCTTCGTTCTCTTTCCGTCTTTTCTCTCGTCTCTCCTTCTTCTTCGCTTCTCCGTCCGGTCTCTCAAGTCAGTTTCTCGGCTTCCCCGTCGGCGTTGTCTCCTTCCTCTTTCGCCTTGCCTTTGTCTCCGCGGTTCCCGAGAGAGGCGCTCCGTCCACCGATAATCGTTGCATATACCCGCGCAGGTGCGCGTCTGTCCTCGAGTAACCAAGTGAAATAATTCGCCGAGAAACGAAAGAAGAAATATGTAGGACGACGAACGCATTTGCCCCGCGGCTCGAGTCGACCCGGACAAAACGCAATGTCGCGAGTCTCAAAGCTCGAGTCAATCAGTAGACGCGCGGAGCCGAGTCAACCCCTCTAACCGCTGGGGTGAATCTCGAGACAAACTGCGCTGTCTAGCCGGCAGCGTTCGATCAATCACGAACGGGCGGTCTACTACGATATTAAGCTGACGCGCGTATTCATACATGCACGCATGCATGCTCGAAGCGTGCGTCGCTAGGGAATGCTCGACGGGCGATGTCAAGTGGAGCGGTTGACGATGCGGGAAAAAAGTCCCGACCGGTACTCTTGGATGAAATCGCGCTGAAAAAGAGGCGGATACGCGCGGGTTGCCATTATCGCGAAACCTTTTTTTTTCGAAAAATCTAAAAAGAAGAATTTGGTATAAACCGGTGCGCACGTTATTTTTTCGCACAGGCGACTGCGTGAAACAAAAAGATAAATCACAAATATAATATATTGCAAAATGTATTCAATAAAAGAAAAAGAGAGCTTACAAATTCTTACGGTTTTCTCGTTAAACGCCGCAATCTGTAAAATGTGATCCCGGTTGTCCGCGTCTAATGAAGATTTATATAACCGATCGCTATATGTCGTACAGATCACGTGCGCGCGAACACAGCGAATTACGGTGTAAATGTGTTCGTAAATCTTGATGTAATGCGCGGCGCATTTTAATGTAATATATGTACATTTCATTCTCGAGAGATCGGGGCGTGTTATGTTGTGTCGTGTTTCGGCAAAATACTCCATAATGCGGGAGATTGCATTCGCTTAAGTCTTCATCATAATTTCTCTCGTCGTACGGGGGAAACGATACCATGTAAGCGGAATCATTAGGATGCCTGTGAAAACCATGTTCACGAAACCGCGTCCGTTGCAAATTTCTTTACATTAAATTTTCTTTGAGGAAGAGAGAGAGAGAGGGCAGAGAGGACAGAGAGAAAAAAAAAAAGGGATAGAAAATAAGATTTTAATGTTAAATGCGGCAGCATTCTTGTGATTCTGTGCGCGTTGAATTGCCACGGCAAAAGCCGCGTTTCCGTCGATAAACACGTACCGCTTAAGCAGCTGCTCCGGCTGCTGAATCCTGCAGCATCCGACGGATGGTAGGAACGGAGAGCAGAAAATTGAGGGAAGCGCCTTTGATACGAGCGCCAACTGCAGCGGTTCGAACGATACACGGGAGAGCATTTTTTCGATCGGCACAGTCGCGCCCGCGGGTATATTCTGATTGTTCAATTTTCAATTTCACGCGGCACTTACTTTGTTTACTGTCTTTTATTCAATATTCGTTAATATTTCACGGAAAAGTAGATACATTTTACAAAATTGATACAACAAAGAGAGAAAGAGAGAGGACGTAATAGTTACATTTATTGACAATTTCAATATTCCGTGTAGACAGGTAACTTTATCAAAAATAAATGAACATGAATACAACTACTATAGATTTATCGTTAATAGCTTTTTTTTTTATTACAGCAATACTGTTATGAAACTCACATTCACGTGTATATAAAGAAAGTGTAAAAAATATAATAAGTAAAAAATTTAATGTGTGTATACACAGCATATAAATTACGTATAAAAATGACTAAGAAATATTTATATAAAAAGTACACGATTGAAGTTTTTATATTTTTCCGCAAAAAAATCAAACATTACACACTTTGACGTCTCGTTGTCGGCTACTTTTCTCTCGCATTCTATTATAGTTACTTAGTATCTTCATTGATATAGCGATTCGTCGATTATTCGGTATAGTTGCACCTTTTCATAAATCTTTACGTATCAACACGTCGGAAAAGTAATATATCCTGACAAGTTGTTAGCATAGCAGCAAGATTTTACGTGGAAATTAAAGCCGGAGAACAAGAGTAATGTTTCTCTCTTTCCGGTTCACGACCAGCGCAATTGTTGAAGAGAATCTTAAACGGATGCGGCGGCGTGATGTTTTCGGAAGCTTTCAACAGCTCGCCGAGCCTCTGATGCTCCTCTATCTGCCTCTTCGTCTCGGCCTTGTGGAACTTGCGGTCCTCTTCCAATTCGCGGCGTCTCATCGTTTCGACGTGCTTGTGCTGCTCTTTGAGCTCCAACCCGTAACGAAGCGCTCTTTGTCTGCTTTCTTTCTGCTCCATCGCGGTCAAGTTGGCGTCCATCTCGATCTGCCTCTCGAGCGCCTCCTTCTCCTCCATCTTCAGGCGCCGTTCTTTCTCCTCCGTCTCTCGCTTCTCCCGCAATTGTTCTTCTCGGCCGCGAAGAACTTCCTGTATGGCACGCTTGCGAGCTTCCTTAGATTTCTCGAGCGCGAGCTCGCGTCTTGCCTCGGCGTCCTTGTGTGACTGCCGAATGATTGCTTCCATCTCCAGATTCCGTCTGGCTTCTTCCTTCCGCAGTTCCTCCAAATACTTAAAGTAGGCTGATGATTCCGCCCGGAGCGCCGCCGGGTTCTTTTTTGTGCGAGCTTTCTCCTTGGCTAGTTCCTCCTCAGCCATCGTTTTAAACACGCGATCCATCTTGGCTTCTTCCTGAGCGCGCTCGGCGAGATATTTTCTCGTCGTCAGAATGTGCTCCTGAAATTCCTTCTTCAACTTTTCCCGCTTTTGTCTTTCCGCTTCGAGATTCTTCAACTCCGCTTGACGCACGTCCTCCTGCAGTTGTTTCAGTTGTTCCCGCTCGCTCTTGATAATCCGCTTCCTCTCGTCTTCCAGCGCCAATTTGTCCGCTACTTGCTTGGCCAAAGTGGACATCGTCTCTCGTTGTGCCAAAGTTCGCCTTTTCGCCTCTTCCGCCTCTTTACGTTCTTTCGTTTCGAGTTCCTTCAACATCATCTTGTGACACATAGCGTCCAATTCCTTTTCCGCTAATTTCTTCACTTCCTTATCAGCCATCTGCGCCACGTTGCACCGCTTCGCGTCGATCGCGTATCTCTTCGACAACTCTTGCTTGATATCTGAGTGCGATATTTGTTGCAGTCTGCGTTTAGCAGCCACCAACGCCTCTTGTTCCTTCTCCTGTTGGTTCTTCAACTCTTGCGCTCTTGCGTCCATTTCCCTACGTCGAATGTCATCACTTTGTCGTGACTTTTCTTCAATCTCTCTAATTAGACTCGCCTCCTCGTTCAATAAAAGATTACGCAGTTTTTCTCTACGTATTTGCAAGTTCTCCTCGTATGCCGATAAATCTGGAGAGTGATTGTTGCACTAATAACCATCAGTATTTTTCTGTTTATTTCTTTTGTAACGCGAGATGTATCACCAATTGTTGAAATAAAAAAATAAAAAATACATGTATTTTTATGTGTAACAAGTAAATTAAAATGTTATACAAATGTGCAATATTTGCACAATTAAAAATTAAAAATTCATTTAATTATAATATTCAATAAAAAAATATATATTATTACTATATTATAATATATATTAAATTTACATAAAATAAACAGTAAAATTTATTAATTTTATGTGAGAAGTTAATTGGAAATTGTACATGTAATTTTTACGTACAAAACTATTTAGGAATTTTTGTAAGAGAGTCGGTTTTATTTATTTTAAAGTTTTTTAAACATTGCAGATAATAGCAGTTATATCAATGTCGTTTTTTTATACTAATACCTTGATGGATTCGTTGACGAAGATTCTTGTTCCTGATCTTTCGATCGGTTTCTTTTTCGAATTCCAGAGTTTTAAGAAAGTGCTCGTACTCTCTCTTATCATCCGGTCGTTCCTCTGTGCTTTCAAAGATGGATCTACGCGAACTACGGTACTTTACAGCGTGACAACTTTCGCGTTCGCGCAACTTGTGTCCGAAAGATACATTTGCCGTACCGAGAACGTCAATGGGATACTTTGTCGGTCGGGGAAAACTGTATTGTATTTTGGGCACTAAAGCCAAACTCATCTTTGGAGAATCAACCGTAAAAAGTGATGAAAACGTCAAGAAAACTCTAAACAGTATTACTTTGGATAATGTGCGTTCCAAGTTTGCCAGCTTGTTTGCAGTAACGGTTGCTATGACAATATACGCCCTTATCGAAATATTTTCTCGACAACAAGATACAAAGAGAGAAAAAGCAGAGAGAGAGAGAGAGAGAGAGAGAGAGAGAGAGAGAGAGAGAGAAAAGCGCACAACTAAAAAATTGAATTTAAATCTTAAATTTTTAATTTTTATTAATAAATATATTATTAATGAATATATTTTTTATTATTGATAAAAATGTGAATAAAATTTGAACACGTATATGCGTTAGATTACATATTTAATGTCATTTCATAAAATTATACGTTCAGATATGCATGCGACCATATATTATTAGGACAGCCATAGAAATTTGGTAAACGCATTTCAAAGTTGCTTGCATTAGTGGAAATCTGAACAGCTCAAAATAATGCGCCTGCGGCGATGCATGCAATGTAATATCCGTACCGGAATGATCGAATATTCAATATTCCCAAATTAGATAGGAAATCTAATATAGACCAGAGAGAGTTGGTTACTATATAAATATGTTATTAGCTATGATTGATTAAACCAAGATCGCGCGAATTCGAAAATGGCACATACATTTATTGCAAATTTTATAGAGAAGCATTATTTAAAATTTATTCAAGCTTAGAATAACAAGTTTTATTATTTTAGAGTATACGGGAGGAGATTAAAGGATTGAGAAAAAATTAAAAACATCAAAAGATTTCCAATGATAGAGTGTGTATATAATACTTCTTTTGTGAATTATATTCTACATAAATTCTTTATTATACATACATATGTACCAAATTTTATAATCCATGTTTTTTTTTTTTTTTTAATTTTATATGTCCATTTGATTGCATTATTTGTTCTATAATCACACGAATGGTTGAACAATACAATAATAAGCCGGTTAGACGCATTTGCGCAGGAATGTAAACCTTTACATTCAATACAATGTGATGCCACAAAATTCCGTCTTTATGATGTAATAAATAAAAGTTTTTATACGATAAAATTTTATTTGTCATATACGTGTAACACTGCGATATTGTTTCATGATAATCACATGTGTTCTTGTTTGAACAAACACAAATAGCCTATCGCGTATGAAAATAATCAGGATGCATGTACTCCAAAAATAAAACACATCCGATGAAATTTCGATATATTTATATCAGCTTTAATAGATTTAAACAGCATATGCATATGTGACGATAACAATATTACATAAATAAACCTCTTTTTCGCTACACCTTTTGTCAAATCATCGGAATTAAATTTAGTCTGTACAACTCGTCATATTTGTACGCAGTTTATGAGGGAGCATATCGTCTTCTCGTCTATTCAATATCAAGATACTGTGATATTATAAATAATAATACTTTTCAATTATAAAAACGCATAAGCAGACTTACCACAAAGTGTATAAGCCACCTTAAATTATGTATACATATGAAGAGAAAGAAATAATGGAAGAATTAGGAAAATCTTAAAAACACTTATGAGCATTAAAAGCTATGTATGTGAAAGAATATAAAAAATCACTTAGTACAAGCGGTGAAAAGATGTTTTCTTACGGATAAAAATAATTACAGTATAAAGTAAAACGTCTACGTGATAATAGATATGAAATATTTGACTTGTGTATGCTGAGCATATATATACATATATATACATATATGCTTAAGTATATGTATATACGTAAATATGTCAAACATGTACACAAGTGTGCTATGAAAAATTGAGCGTTACAAATAATTACTTAATATTCTTTCAGTCAATTCTTCTAATCAAACTCATTCACTATCATAACAAATTAAATTACACATTATTGATCACGTTCATGTTTTGTATATACATAAATTGCAACAATAATAATGAGCACGTTAACGAATACGAATATTTATTCATTTCGTTAGTCTACACGAATCACCGAAGTATTTTGTTTGTCTCTGTTCTTTCGCATCGGCTTTTCGTTCCGCTCCAACATTCCTCGATAACTTTTCGACGACTGATTGTCCCGCGAATTTTTTTCTCTAAAAGAAAAACAGAAACACAATAGTCGTGAATGAAACTAAGTCGCGTTCGTGCTCTCGGTATTTCCCGATGTGCTCCCTGTTGCCGATGAACTCGTTGGTACAGTGGAATAAGGAGCTCCGCAAAGCAGATCGGCTATGCGTCCACCCTCGCGAAGCCCGCTTAGGAATGCCCCATGTACAGTGGCTGGATAATTTCGTATAGTGTGTTCTCCTGAAAATTTATTCATTCAACATGTACAAATTAATACACGCAGTTTTTACATTAAGACTCTGCGCAAAACACTCTTTACATTTGGTAATTTGTTACAAGCGTCTCTTGACGTCAATCAGCTTCGCTGAATTCGACGAATACTCATTTGCGAGTGTTTGCATAAACGATATGTCGCGAATAAGATCTACAAATAACGTGTACGAAGTTATTGAACGCACGTCGGAAACGGAATTTCGCAGTGAAGTAAATTGCGTTGCACATCAATCGATGGAAACGCAAAAGAGACACGAATATATGTACATATACATGTATATTTGCAGAAATGCAAATACGAAATGCTATAAATTCAAATATATCCATCAGAGAGAAAAGTTAAAAAGACGACCGGTTAGAGTTGTTCGCTTTTCACTAATGTCACATTATGAAACAAATCGAAGATGAATCGCTAATATTTAATATTTACCTGCGAAAAACACTTTTGGCTGCGACGGACCCTTTATACCGGGAGGTGACACGGGTGCCGCAAGCAGATCGTAATCGCTGCCGGAACTGCCGACTGCGACGAAACTGTAAGAACCTCGTGCCCAGGGATCCGCCCGCCACCTCGTTACGACGCTTTCGCGCGGCTGTGGTACAACTTGATTGCCAAAAATACCCTGTAAAAGCAAATGTTGAAGTTGAAGAGTCGAGACTATCGCGATCGGGAGAGATATGGCTCTTCGGCTTTCGCGCGCCAGCTAGAAATTTCATCCACTTACTTTCAGTACGGCGATGCAACGGCCGACGATAACATCGTCACTGACATGTTCCATTACGCCAGCCGCTTCGCCGGCGACGAGGGCCAACAGGACAGGCGCCTTGTATAAGTTCCAGAACAAGAAGAGCTCGCCGCGTGACGCGGTGGTACTTCCCACGTGGCCGAACAAATTGGCCGTGGGATCCCAGAAAATGCGCTCGAAGCATAGTACTACCTGAGAAATTAAAGGGAAAATTGCGGGATAAAAATTACAAGTGTGGAAACTTCAACCCGCAAAGATTGTGCAAACAATGTTAATTTTTAAGGTTTTAATTTAAACGATCAATCTTGATTTTCCAGACCTGATTTACCTTCTTGCTATAATTTTCTACGGCGCTTGACATGATTCTACTCACTAGGAAACATTGAATATTTCACATCTGAGATCTAAGCGCTAACTTAATTTTAAAAAACTACACAAGCTCTTATAATTTAGTGTATTTCGTAAAACAGTATTAAGACTGCACTTGACCTTGTGATGTACGACGTGCTTCGTATAAACTTTTGCCTCATTTCTTTTCGGACAATGTTTAATTGTTACAGCATTCCTTATCTCGTTATTGACGTACGTTAAATGTTCTCGAGTCCTTCGATGTGTGATTCTCGTTCGTTAAGAAAACTTTAATTGCTACTGAAATCTGCCAGCGGGCAATCGGTGATAAAACTTAATGCGCGATTATGCAATCTTAATGCACCGACGCTTGCGACAGAACCGTCGTCCTTCTCGCGAGTGGCATATATACATATATCAGATCGCTCCACAAACTCACCGAAAACACACACACGTGTCACTTACTTTGTTCAAATTGCCGAAGCCGAGTCGGTCAATGGCCTGAGTCTTCCATTCCGGAAGTTGCGGGAGGAAGCTGACTCCTCCGTTGGTCGGCGAGAGCTTGAGGACGCCCAGCGGCAGCGTGATCAGAACGGCGTCCGCCTTGAAAATGCTGTGATTCGAGTGCGGACTGCGGGGCGGCGTGGCCCATACCTCTACACCCTGCTGCGAATATCGCACGGACCTGACAGCTAAGTTCAATCGAATATCAAGTCCTTCCGAAAGAGCAACAGGTACGCAAGAATACCCGTTGCGAACTGCAAGTCAAAAGGAGTGAAAAAACGGATCAGTATTCTTCAGATTGATCGCAATACCCGGATCGCATAATGCCGCGCGAGATATATTTCCGCGGCATGCTTATACGCGGACAGGAGAAGTTGGGAAGGAATAGAATACATACATCTTCGTTGAGCGAGATCGTGCGAGGATGGCGAGAACGAGGATATTGTTCGGTAGGATAGTCACGTATATACACGCGAGATGGTGCGCGTTTAACGAACTAGGTCGTTGCGTTAAGAGTTTCGTTATACGTTTCTCCTTTGATTTCGAAGCAATATGCTGAATTGGCGTATCTTGGCGGGGCACGTACGCCCTGAGCTGTGCTCCGCAGCTTTTACGTTCCGGAAAGTAGATCGAATCAAGGAGGCTCTCGTTACGTTGCACGTTCATCGTATCAAAAGACCCTTCCTTGTGAGTGTAAATATCGCGCGCTGTGCAACGATGGATGGTTATATACCGGGGTGCAATAGGAGAGACCCCATTATGACTTAATTGGATATTTCGCGTTACGTGCGCTTAAATCAGGCCACCTGACGCGAACCTAAATTCTCGTAAGCACATTCGAACCCCATAACATCGAGGCGTGTACTAATAATGATACACAGGCGTCTCCACTTAGGGGGTTAATTATGTTGATGGCTACCACGGCGCTAACAAGCACTCTCCTATCGGCGCGCGCGCGCTCTGCATCCCATTTCAGAAATTTAAATTTACGCGTGCGCTACGTCAGGCTGAAAGCACGGTAATTTAAATTAGCACGTTTTGGGACACACGTGCCTGTGCATTATCGCGATATTTCGCTCGGTCCCTTCGAGGGACGCCGAGTGTGTGCGTATTGATTGCGCGTAACGTGTCGAACGTCCGCGAGATACAATCGAGACGAAATGTTACCGCAACCTTGGGCCGGCAGCAGCTAACGATCGGCCGCGCTCTATCGGGTTTGCTGATGCTGTGCTGCATTACCTCTGTCTGCGGCTGTCGATGTTAACTGACTGGAATCGATAAATCATGACACGGACGGCACGTACGTCGTCGTCAAAAATTTATACCAACGCCGCGTTGTAAACGTAACCGGAAATGTTCCCGAATGCCGAGTGCGTGTCCGCGACAGCTAATGACACACCGCGAGATGAATTAGTCGCAACATCATTCCAGCATCGAATCTATATTGTTCGTTTCGTCGAGAATGAATTAACGCACAACTAGCGCGCGATTGAAAAGAAACTAAAATGTTATGTGCATCAATTAATTCAAGTACATTATTGTCGTGTTTTTTTTTTTTTATAGAAAGTACCGACGTTCGAAAAAATGTATTTTTGGCGAGAGTAAAATACGTCAAAAATAATTTGAATAACATCTCGACGCAAAATACATTTGTAAAAATAAATTTCTCGTTATACAAAGATCACAAAAGTTGAAACATTATTTTTTCTTCAGAAGAAATAACACACATATTCAGCGTAAATACTGAAATTAATTAAGAAAAATAAATATTATTTGTTTTCTCTTTGAAAGAGCGTAATGTGAACGATTATTTACGTCGAATTCGGCCACTGCATGCTCGACTCGAATGTGCCTGATGTTGATTACAGAAATCGTTCGTAATAAGGGAGAGAATATTCAACAGCTCGTCGGGAAACGAATCAAATCCATGAAAATTATGGTAAGTCGAATCCTTCCTGTCTATATATATATACATGTAACTTTTGAAATGGGAAATTAATTCTTGGCTGAACCCGCGCGCGATTCGAAATCGTTAATGGAGAGGATAAACTGATCCATTAATCTCATTTCTTCTGATCGCGCGCCGAGCGTGCAGTAGAAATTCAGGACAACGGCCCTTCGAAGAGTGAGAGAGAGACAGAAAGAATGTCGAAAGAGGGAAGTGCCTGAATACCGGGGAAGTTTTTCTCTCCGGCGATCACTATCGCTGGCCGCGCTCTCGTATGGAACGGCATTACGTGGCACGGCGAGAAGACTCTTCGTCGGGACGACGGGAAGGCAAATATTTAGAGGGCAGTCTAGCATATAGTAGCACGGGATCTGTGTCCGCCGTAGGGTGGAACAAACACCACGACGAGGCTCTTCCTTACTTTTCTTCCCCGGTAACAGAAAGAAAAGGGTGATACACAAGTCGGACAGATCCGGGCGCGAAGGTCAGGGCCTCCGTCGTCGCCGAGGTGCCCTTCTTCGAAGCACCTTTTCTCGTTCTATCTCGACCATCGGCCCCATATACGCCACCCTATTTCGCCCGCGTGTCTTGTCTTCCGTTTGATCTTTGCTCGCAGTATTTTTTGACGGCGAGTCGAACAATTTGTATGCCGCGGTGGTTTTCAATTTACATTTAAATTGGTTGCTTATGGCGTTCTGTCGTCTCGACGGGAGTCGAGTCCGGGAGGAGGAGAGCCGCTGCCGCTGCACGGAACAGTCAAATACTGAAACGGCCTCGCGAACGTGTGGCGGAACTCTTGCCGGGTTCAATGTACCGGCGCCGATGCTTTTTTGCCGGATACGAGCGCCCGAGAGAGGATCGCGAGAGCCCTTCGCGCAGGAGCGAGAGAATGGGTGAGAGAACGGGCAACGAAGAAAAGGGACGGACAGAGGGCCCGCCGCGATGCTTTTCTTGTTCACTCATCCGTTATATCAACATTCCGAATCGCGACTCCCGAAGGTATATGCGCGGAACAAACGCGCCCGGTCGTTAGTTTCTCTCTCTCGCTCTCTTCCTCTGTTTCTCTCGAAACCCGCTTCCGCGCCGCGAGCTTTCGAAAGTTTAACCGCGACGCCTCAGCGTTTCATCCCTGATGGGCATCATCCCTCGACGGTTAATAGGGCACAAGTTCGTCGGCTAATCGATAGAATGAGGAAAAACTGAGATGTATGTATATTTCACATTAAAGTGCAAAACTTGCAACCTCTTTTTGTCAGCTCTACACAATGTACGTGAGCAATGTATTTGTAAATTAAAACTTAAATTTTTAAAGTAATTTACAACTGTTTTTAAATTACTTTAAAAATTACTTGTTTTTTCGGAGTTTTCTTCCACATGCACCAGATTAAATTTACACCGTAAAACTTCCCGGGTGGCGAGGAAGTTTTTGCCATTCGAATGTATATAATGAAGTGTACATAGACGCGGTTTAAATAGCCGGGAAGTATGTAGTGTGAAATTCGATATACGAGTCGCAAGAGTTTTTTTATTCCCTCTCTCAATCTCCTCCATGGTGGAGAGGAGGTGCGCGCGGAGCTTTTCTTGTGCTCACCCATCCGTTATATCAACATTCTAAATCGTAGGTCCCGAAGGTATACAACGCGCAGCTAAGGCAACTGTTGATACCTTATAGATTGGAAACTTCGGTAGTGCGAGGTAACGGCGCGGAGGTTTTCACCCTCTTAGCTTCGTGCATCACGCTCGGGCGAGCCATACATCACTCTATTATCACGCTGTAATTGTATTTTTTAAACGTATTTCACTGCATCTCACCTCCACATCGCGATTCGACGTGCAATAATTCTTGCTATCATTTCATCGATTCTTGGTTCTGCCGGTAATAATAATCTACGACCAACCTAATCGTTATTCATTGTTTTACTGAAATTTATTGTAAGATACGGAGCTTAAGATGAGTAAAACTTATAGAAATATTTTACATTTATTGATTTTGTCAAATTTTTACTTGAAAAAAAAAACGATCAGATGACTTTAAATATCACATTTGTGAGAATTTAAATTAAAATCAATAATTACAATTGATGCAAGAAATACATATTTTTCCACTCAAAAAAGGCATCAAACATAAATTGATACAACGAACATACTAAATCGAGCATCCCCATTCTATGTTTACACGGAGATCTCTTCTACAGAAGTCACGACGTGTTTCTCCCCTATCTATCCGTTATGCCAACATTAATTAAACGCCGTGTCGATGTACCATGTAAGTTGAGTGGAGAAAACCAGTGCAGAGGTTATCTTACCAAATAATGTGTCGGCTGTTATAAATAATGTACATGACAACACATATTTGTACTGCTAAAATCTAAAGTTTTGTACGATATACGTTGTAAATCTGTAAAACTAAATAAAAAATAAAATCAAATTTATATAATTTTTCTAGATAAAAGAAAGAATTGTTTTACAACAATTAAACTTAGAAATTTGATTAGATTGCATCGCGCGGAGGATGTATCTTGCTTCTACAAATTCTTCGTACATCTTCGCGTCCAATAGTGAATTTAGCGACGACGTTCTGTATAATTTGTACAGATAGAGATAAAGTTAATTGGAATTGCTGTGATATTTATGATGCCCGCCGGAGAAGTAAACGCCCGAGGATGTAACATTCCTAGATCGCGCTACTAAGTAACATAAAGAGATCGATATCGAGATGAAATTTATTACGATTGTCACACAGATTGTGCAAATGAGCTTGTACACCCTTCTTGCGTACAAATGTATTTTCTACACTGTTAGAAAAACGGTAGCAATCGTACACACCATTATACAGCTTTTTACAGATGGTAACTTTACAATCGAACAGTAAGTTATGCGCAACTGTACCAATTTTTTCACAATTTCAAGTACAACATATACGATACGTAAAAAGACGTCTTCTATCATAATTAAATTTATATTAACTTGACGTTCTGAAGAAATAGTAATTTTGATATTATAAATACTTACCTTTTTTTTTCAAATTTGCAAAATTAAACTTATAAATCTTCTACATGTTTTTCGTATTCTCTCGATCTCATATTTCTTCAACAGTTCGAATAAATGCAAGTAATTTTCGCAGTGCGAAAAATGCTTTCTCTTTTTCGTAGGCGATAATTATCGAGAAACATATTCGCGTTTGACCGACCGCATTGCGAAAGTAGCCAAATTATTTCAAACCGGTTTGTGACGCCGGGAATATGTGCGGAACGTTTTACGCCATACTGGCATAATTGGTAGTGAGCGCGAACGCTTTTTAAGGCG